GTGGTTGGAATGGCAGAAACGAAGAGGAAAAAGTAATACTTTTAATCTTCCTAGCCTCAAGAGTTGTACATTCTTACTAGTTCAATTGAAAAAACTGATTTTCAATAGGAAGAAGAGAGGATTTATTTAAGATATAATGATGTAATGTATTCATAAGAATCTATGGACTGTGTCAAAATGAGTATAAACTATTAAAAATGATTGGATTTAGAGATGCAATCTTTGTTTATGGTCAAATATAACGATAGGAATTTTGAGAGATACTTTATTTCATTTGTCCACTGGATGTCACTGTTTTACTAAAAGGCAGCTATTAGTGTATGATTGTGACTGGGATCTAAAAGGCTGAAATTTAAACAAATTAGAGTTTGTTTTCAGTCACAACTTATAGGAAGTTTCCTGCTTTTCACAATATTGTAAGTGACAAGCAGAAAAGAAGATAGTGGATTAAAATGTATGAGAAATTTGGCATAATTATTGACCCTATATTTGAAAAGTGGGCATTTTGTAACATTCCTTCAGGATGACTAGAAATGTATACCTTTTTCTGCATGTTTGTGAGCACTGTGATTCTTAAAAGATTTATTTATTTATTTGAAAGAGTTACACAGAGATAGAGGAGAGGCAGTGGGGGGGGGGGGGGGCTTCCATCTGCTAGTTTACTTCCCAGTTGGCCACAATGGCCAGAGCTGAGCTGAACCGAAGCAAGGAGCCAGGAGCTTCTTCTGGGTCCTCCACTCAGGTGCAGGGACCCAGGGACCTGGGCCATCTTTTACTGTTTTCCCAGGCTATAGCGGAGAGCTGAATTGAAAGTGAAGCAGCCAGGTCTCGAACCAGTGTCCATTTGGGATGCTGGCACTGCAGGTGGGGGCTTTGCCTGTTATACTACAGTGCCAGGCCCCCTTGAGAGTTCTTGATTCTGTTTCAGTTAGCTCTCAAAATGAATTGCCTAGGAGGCCCTTTAAGAGTGGCATGGGGTAGGAGGCATTTGGCACAGTGGTTAAGGGTCACAGGAAGACTGTATCCCGTATTAGAGTGACTGGGTGGAAGTGGCAACTCACTGCTAATTCCAGCTTCCTGCTCATGCACACCCTGGGAGACAGCATGTGATGGCACAGGTGCTTGGTCCCTGTCACCCACTGGGAGATCTGGGTTAAGCTCCAGGCTCCTGACTTCAGCCTGACCCAGCCCTAGATGGTGCATCCATTTGGGAATTGAACCAGCAGATGGAAAATCTCTCTCTCTCTCTCTCTCTCTCTCTCTCTCTCTCTCTCTGCTTTTCAGATAAAAAAGAAGAAAATTATTTAATTGAAAAAGTGTTGCTCAGCCCTTGTTATGAGTCAGATGGTCTTTACCTTTCTTATTAAATTTGGTGAAAATCAGTCTAACGGTTTTCATGGGATGTGGTAGCAAAGATAAGCTGGAACTTTATATCACTTCAATCGATTATAGCTGTCTCTGAAACTACACATTTCTGCATGTCTTTGAGGAAAGTTATTGATTACTTTTATTGCTATCAAGGGTGTTTGTATCCTAAACAACCATAGAAGGTATAAATAGTATCTGCCTTGGGAGCAGAGGCCAGGCATGCTTACTGTCCAGGGTAAAAAGGTTTGGGGTCCCCAAGCTTGGGTGTGCAGATGTCACCTTCTTTATATAGTCTTGGGGAACTGCTGCGACAAAGAACTGAAACCTCGTACTTTTGCTGTGAGTGATGAACTGTTCTTTGTCTCTGATCCAGGAGTCTTGTGTCTTCTGCCACCCTCCACAAAAACCCATGGCAGGTGTACCTTTTAGTTACCAAGTAAAATCTCAGATCCTTCACAGTCCTCAATAATGAGGAGAAGGAGAAGGAGGAAGACAGATGAAGCAGAGAATGGTGACCTTGCCTTAATGGTTTCACTAGTAGATTACCTTTTTATTTTATTTTATGATTTTTACAAAATGTTTATTTTCTTAAATCTGCATTCACAGCATGTTAACACTTTAAATGTTTATCATTTCCAACAACAGCAGCAATATCTAAGTAAATGGAAATAATCACTTTTATCTACATATAAAATTAGTATTAATTTTTTTAGTAAAAAAAAAAAAAAAACCCTTAGGGGCCAGTGCTGTGGCATAGCGAGTAAAACCACTGCCTTCAGTGCCGCATCCAATATGGGCGTTGGTTTGAGTCCCAGCTGCTCCACTTCCCATCCAGCTCTTTGCTATGATCTGGGAAAGCAGTAGAGGATGACCCAAATCTTTGGGCCCCTGCACCTGCGTGGGAGACCCAGAAGAAGCTCCTGGTTTCAGATGGCCCAGCTTCTGCTATTGTGGCCATTTGGGGAGTGAACCAGCAGTTAGAAGACCTCTCTCTCTCTCTCTCTCTCTCTCTCTCACCCTCTCTCCCTCTCTCCTTCTCTCCTTCTCTCCCTCTCTCCCTGCCTGTGCCTCTCTGTAACTCTGCCTTTCAAATAAATAAAAAAATTTAAAAAAAAGAAGAATCTTAACTTCCATCACATTTCAACTCAGGTAGCTTTGTTGTACTTTCATTTAGTAGATATTTTTAAAAATAGTTAATAGCTTGAAGTATATTAAACCATGTTCTCAGCCAAGCCGAGTTACAAAGAAACAGTGATTGTGGATTTCACAGCCAGGCTCAGTGTTTTCAAAGCGCTTGACATTCACCACTAATGCAGAATCAGATCAGCCTTCTGTGATCTCCACAAACATTGCTCCAGCAGCTGGGACTGAGGGCTGCATTATGCATGCAGATACCCACCCCCTCCCCTGATCCCTGCTGGTGGAGATGGAGGACGATGAGTGGTAATGGGGAGTGGGTGCTCTAACAGATATCCTGCGGGGCACAGGGGAGTCCCCAGGGGACCCCAATCCACTCCAGCTTCCCCGACTTGGAGTGCTTGGCCCATTCCTGTCTTTGACCCTGGGCTCCTGCTATCTTGGGGCTTGGGGCCTCAAGCTGTTCTTTCCTCCAGCACCCACTGTGGGTGTGACATCCACCGACTGCCCAGCAACCAGAAGCTGTGGTTTTCCCCACGGGACAGCCCCAAGGTCTTGGGGGAGAAGAAGGGGCTGTCCCTAAACATAGCATCTGCAGCTGTTCTCTAATACTCACCATGTGGCTGGACCCCTGCCCCGCCACCTGATTCCCACACCTGTCATGGTTTCTGTCTGAGTGGATGCCGCCACCACAGACCACATCCTTCCTTGTGGCTGCAGTCGGAAATCCAGGTTTGGCTGGGTTCTGGGGACTGCCCCCTCCCCGCCTTCTTCCGCGTGGCTGGGCTGGGCCTCTCCAGCTGGGGCACCTGCAACTCTGGCCTCCCAGGCCCTCTCCCTCCTGACTGAGCTGTGCCATGGCCTGGATCTAGGCCCTGGCAGAGGAGTTTGAGTCCAGCTGTCCCACTTGGAAAACCCCCTTGCTCAGTGTTGCTGGCACCTCTGCAGAGCCCTCCAGGGCCCTGCCTCTTCTCTCTTGGGGCAGAGATGTGTCCCTGTCCAGTGGCTTCTACCCTGCTTGGTGTTGGAGGAGACCTTCATCCTGGCCTCCTGTGGGTCAATCACCTGCCCACTCTCCACCCCACAGGGGTCCATAGACTCCACCTGAGGCCAAGGATTCCTCTCTTCCAGATTCAGGTGTTTCTAGATCTCTGCCCCCTCACCTGCCCCAAACTCAAGCCATCTTATCCTATCTGGAACTTCTCACTGTTGGGGCCCAGGGATGGCAGAGCATAGACCTGGGGTCATGACGAAGGCCTGGATCTGTTGAGTCCTCAGTGTCAGAGCCTTGCTCTGCAGCTTTTGATCCTCCAATGAGGGGTCCCCAGGAACACCAAAGAAGCCCAGCATCTCTGGGGTTCCCAGGGATGCACCCGGAAGCCCAGGTCTTCTCCAGGAACTGGGGAGAGATTCTTGCTTCCTCTGCAGATGTCAGGGTCACCAACCTGGCCAAGATCCTCTGGCTCCTTCCACTGATGAGGAGAGGGAGGCACAGAGAGGGAGGGATTCTTACCTGAGATACACAGCAACTTGGCCTAAGGACTGCAGCCTGGGATTTGACCAGTTTTGAGCTGAGAGCTGAGAGCATCAGTGTCTTGGGACGTGGGGTGGAGCCAGCCTGGAACTGGAGGGCAGGGCTTTGGAAATCTCAGGTCTTTCACCTCCCAGTGGGCTCAGCAGCCTCGAATGCTGCCCACAGAGGAGAGTCCAGCAGGGGGCAGCAGAGATCAGCAGTAGGGGAGGCTGGAAACCCAGGGGAGGGCTCTGGGGTGGAGGCAGGCAGGGATACAGGGGCTAGACTTGGGTTATACATCCCTCCAGCATTCACCTCACCCCTGGACCTGGGGCTGGGGCTGAGGGGGGCAAGTGACGTGAGTCAGGTCCTGATTTTCTGTTCATTGTTGGCTTTGGGGGAGCATTAATTTAGATTTTTAAAACTTAATTTTTTTTTTTTTTTTTTTTGTATTTGAGAGGCAGGTATGAAAGAAAGACCCAAATGCCTACAACATCTGGGTCGGGGTCAAAGGTGAAGCTGGGAGGTTAGAACTCCATCTGGGTCTCCCACATGGGTGCCTCCCAAGGTGCACATTAGCAGGAAGCTGGAATCAGGCACTCCAATGTGGGATGTGGGCATCTCAACTGCTGGGCTAAGCACCTGGCTCTAACTCTGATTTTTTTTTTTTTTTGCCAGTTTTCAATATAGTTTTATTGAAGACGTTGTGTTTCCCACTCAGACTCCAGTGGTTATAAATTGCAGTGTCATTTCCTTTCCCCGTCGTGCACTGTTCCCTATGCAAGGCTTGAGAGTGTCCAGTGATGCATGATAGCAGTTAGACTTTCAAGATGCCTTGGAATTCCCAACATGGGGTCTTCAGCGTGGGACTGTGGTGCACCTGCACTTGCCTTGGGCTTCATCAGCCTCTTCAACGGTGGAGCCTGAGGAGGCACCACCAGAGGGAGGAGCCCCTCCACCAGCAGGCCCCCAGCCCTCCCACCTGGCATGGCCCCTGTGCTCTGGTCCAGCTCAGTGGCAATACACTTGCAGCCCTTCTCCAGGTTCTTTCTGTGGATGTTCAGATTCTTCATTCGCTATAGTCTGATTTTTTGAAAAAGATTACTTACATATTTGAAAGGCAGAGTGACACAGAGAAGGGGGAGGGAGAGAGAGAGAGAGAGAGAGAGAGAGAGAGAGAGAGAGAAGTGAGAGAGAGAGAGAGAGAGAAGTGAGAGAGAGAGGAGAGAAAGAGAGAGAGAAGAGAGAAGAGAGAGAGAGAAGTGAGAGAGAGAGAGAGAGAAGTGAGAGAGAGAGGAGAGAGAGAAAAGAGAGAGAGAGAGAGAGAGAGAGAGAGAGAGAGAGAGAGATGGATCTTCCATCTGCTGATTCACTCCTCAAAATGGCTGCAACAACCAGAACTAGGCCAGACCAAAGCCAGGAGCCTGGAGCTCTATCTGGGTCTCCCCTGTGGGTGGCAGGGGCCCGAGGACTTGAGACTTCATCTGCTGCCTCTCAGGCACATTAGCAGAGAACTGGATCAGAAATGCAGAGCAGGGGCCGGCGCTGTGGCATAGTAGGTTAAGTGTCTGCCTGTGATGCTGGCATCCCACATGGGTGCCCGTTCAAGTCTTGGCTGCTCCATTTCTGATCCAGCTCCTCGATAATAGTCTCCAAAAGCTGTGGAAGATGGCCCAAGTGCTTTTGCCCCTGCATCCATGTGGAAGACCTGGAAGAAGCTCTGGCTCCTGGCTTCAAATTAGCTCAGCTCCGGCCTTTGTGACCATTTGGGAAGTGAACCAGAGGATGGAAGACTTTCTGTCTCTCCCTTCCTCTCTCTGTAACTCTGCCTCTCCAATAAATAAATAAATCTTAAGAAAAGAGAAAAATGTGCAGAGCAGCTGAGACTTGAACCAGGGACTCTCATGTAGGATGCAGGTGTGTGCGAAGCAGCAACTTAACTACTATGTTGAATGCCCACTACTACATAATACATTATGAATGGAACTAGCATGAGTTACTTCTAACTGACTGTGTTTTGGTGCTCATTTTCCTACCTCCATTTACCTTCCCCCTGCCTTTCCCAGCCCTAGTAATCATTGTTCTGTGTTCAGGTTGACTATCTATATTTTTTTAGATTTTAATTATTTAAAAATTTCATTCATTTGTAAATCATATTAGTTCTTTTTTAAGATTTGTTTTTATTTATTTGAAAGGCACAATTAGAGAGAGAGAGAGAGACAGCTAGGGCTAAGCCAGACCAAATCCAAGAGCCGGGGGCCCAAGGAGTTGCCATCCTCCGCTACTTTCCCAGGCACATTATCAGGGAGATGGATCAGAAGTGGAGCAGCTGGGACTCGAATCAGCGTCCATATGGGATGCCAGCATTGCAGGCAGCAGTTTTACCCAATATGCCACAGCGCCAACCCTAAATCATACTAGCTCTTTATTATACATTGTAAATTAAATCATGACAGATATCCTATTGACTTATCTTATTTTTAAAACATGCAAAGGTTACATAACTTTCATATCATTTTTTAAAAGATTTATTTATTTGAAAGGCAAAGTTACAGAGAGGCAGAAGCAGAGAGAGAGAGAGAGAGAGAGAGAGAGAAAGAGAGGCTTTCCATCCACTGGTTCACTCCCCCCAGTTGGCCGCAACGGCCGGACCTCATCACGTTGTCCTTCAGGTGATGTCACTAGCTCCACACACAATACAGGCTCCCGGACTTCCTGCTCACATTGTCACATGTATTGCTGAATATCCCTTTGCAAACACCTCCTGCACTCTTTGCACTGATACAGTAAGATCTTGCTGTGTTTATTCTTATTGTGGATGCTCTTTCTGGAAGTTGTCCTAAACCTCATTGAAGCTTCTGTCATCTTTGAGTCTTCTTTTTTTAATAGAAAGCTTTTATTTAATAAATATAAATTCCATAAGTACAACTTTTAGATTATAGCAATTCTTCCTCCCATACCTGCCCTCTCACCTCCAAACCATCCCACCTCCTACTCTCTCTCCCATCCCATTCTTCATTAAGATTCATTTTTAATTATCTTTTTATAAGAAGATCAACTTGATACTAAGTAAATATTTCAACAGTTTGTATTCACACAGACACACAAAGTATAAAGTACTGTTTGAAGACTAGTTTTACTGTTAATTCTCATAGTTCAACTCATTAAGGACAGAGGTCCTACATGGGGAACAAGTGCACAGTGACTCCCATTGTTGATTTAACAATTAACACTCTTATTTATGATGTCAGTAATCACCCAAGGCTCTTGTCATGAGCTGCCAAGGCTATGGAAGCCTCTTGAGTTGACAAACTCTGACCTTATTTAGACAAGGCCATAATCAGAGTGGAAGTTCTCGCCTCCCTTCAAAGAAAGGCACCTCCTTCTTTGATTGTCCCTTCTTTCCACTGGGATCTCACTCACAGAGATCTTTCATGTAGGTCATTTTTTGTCACAGAGTCTTGGCTTTCCATGCCTGAAATGCTCTCATGGGCTTTTTAGCCAGATCCAAATGCCTTAAGGGCTGATTATGAGGCCAGAGTGCTGTTTAGGGCATTTGTCATTCTGTGAGTCTGCTGTGTGGCTCACTTCCCATGTTGGATCATTCTCTCCTTTTTAATTCTATCTATCATTATTAGCAGACACTTGGTCTTATTTATGTGATCTATCAGACACTTAATCTTATCTTTATGATCAGTTATGAACTTAAACTGATCACATTAACTAGTAAGATGGCATTGGTACCTGCCAACTTAATGGGATTTGGAGTCCCATGGCAAGTTTTTAACTTTACCCTTAGGGATAAGTCCGAGGGAACATGTGCCAAACTGTATATCTCCTCCCTCTCTTATTCCCACTCTTATTTTTAACCAAGATCAAATTTTAATTGGGTTTAAACACTAAGAATAATTCTGCTTTAAGTAAAGAGTTCAACCAATGGTATTAAGTAGAAAAAGAAAATAATAAAATAATAATCTGTTCCTCGACAGGACAAGGGCTGATCAAGTCATTGCTTCTCATAGTGTCAGTTTCACTTCTACAGGTTTCCTTTTAGGTGTTCAGTTAGTTGTCACAGATCAGTGAGAACATATGACATTTGTCCCTTTGAGACTGGCTTATTTCACTCAGCATGATTTTTTCCAGATTCCTCCATTTTGTTGCAAATAGCCAGATTTCAGCAGTTTGTTTATGTGTTGTATCACATTGATTGATTTGCGAATGTTGAACCATCCCTGCATACAAGGGATAAATCCCACTTGGTCTGGTTAGATGAGCTTTCTGATGTGTTGTTGGATTCTATTGGCTAGAATTTTATTGAGGATTTTTTCATCTATGTTCATCAGGGAAATTGGTCTGTAATTCTCTTTCTCTGCTGCTTCTTTTTCAGGTTGGAATTAAGGTGATTCTGGCTTTGTAGAAAGAATTTGGGAGGATTCTCTCTCTTTCAAAGGTTTTGAATAGCTTGAGGAGAATTGGAATTAGTTCTTTAAATGTCTGGTAGAATTCAGCAGTGAATCCATCCAGTCCTGGGCTTTCCTTTGTTGGGAGCGCCTTTATTACTGATTCAATTTTTGTCCTGGTTATGGGTCTGTGGGTCTGTTTAGGATTTCTGTGTCTTCACGGTTCAATTTAGTTAGGTTGTATGTGTCCAGGAATCTATCTATTTCTGATAGATTTCCCAGTTTGTTGGCATACAACTCTTTGTAGTACTTTCTGATGACTCTTTTTATTTCTGTGGTGTCTGTTGTTACATTTCCTTTTTCATCTCTGATTTTATTAATTTGGGTCTTCTCTTTCCTTTTTTGGTTAGTTTGGCCAATGGTGTGTCAATTTTGTTTATTTTTTCAAAAAACCAGCTCTTCACTTTGCTGATCTTTTGTAAATTTTTTTGATTCAATTTTGTTGATTCTCTAATTTTAATTATTTCTCTTCAGATACTAGTTTTGGATTTGGTTTGCTGTAGTTTTTCTAGATCCTTGAGATGCATTGATAGCTCATTTATTTGGTGCCGTTCCAATTTCTTGATGTAGGCACCTATTGCTATAAACTTTCCTCTTAACACTGCTTTTGCTGTATCTCATAAGTTTTGATATGTTGTGTTGTTATGTTCATTTGCTTCCAGAAAGTTTTTGATTTCTCTTTTGATTTTTTTCTATGACCCACTGTTCATTCAGGAGCATGTTATTCAGTTTCCATGTGTTTGCATATGCTCTAGAGATTCCTGAGTTGCTGATTTCCAACTTCATTCCATTGTGGTCTGAGAAGATAAATGGTATGATTTCAATTTTTTTGAATTTGCTAAGACTTGCTTTATGGCCTAGTATGTGGTCAACCCTAGAGAAAGTTCCACGCACTGCTGAGAAGAATGTGTATTCTTCAACTGTAGGATGAAAAATTCTGTAGATATCATTAGGTCCATTTGGTCTGTAGTGTTGATTAAATTTGCTGTTTCTCTTTTGATTTTCTGTCTGGTTGATCTGTCCATTGCTGAAAGTGGAGTATTGAAGTTCCCCAATAATATTGTATTGGAGTCTAAGTCTCCCTTTAAATCCATTAACATTTCTTTTAACTATCCCGGTGCCCTGTAATTAGGTGCATATACATTTATAATAGTTACATCTTCCTGTTGAATTGATCCCTTAATCATTATATAGTGCCCTTCTTTGTTTCTTTTAACAGTTTTTGTGTTAATGTCTATTTTGTCTGATATTAAGATGGCTATGCCAGCTCTTTTTTGGTTTCTCTTTTTCCAACCTTTCACTTTCAGTCTACATGCACCTTTCTTGGAAAGATGTGTTTCTTGTAAGCAGCAAATAGATGGGTTTTGTTTTTTAATCCATTCATCCAGTCTGTGCCTTTTAACTGGGTAGTTGAAGCCATTTACATTCAATGTGACAATTGATAAGTAATGACTTTGCCCTATCATTTTTCCAAAGATATTCCTAAGTTATACTTTGAATGTCCTTTGATCTTTTACTGAGAGATTTTCTTCCTTTACCTTCTTTCTTATTGATGACCATGTTCCTGTGTTTCTGTGTGTAACACATCTTTAAGCATCTTTTGCAGGGCTGGATGGGTGGTGACAAATTCTTTCAATTTCTGTTTGTTATAAAAGGTCTTTCACCTTCACTTACAAATGTGAGCTTTGCAGGGTATAATATTCTGGGATGACAGTTTTTTGTCTTAGGACTTGGGCTATATCTTGCCATTCTCTCCTAGCCTGCAGGGTTTCTGATGAGGAGTCTGCTGTGAGTCTAATTGGAGATCCTCTGAAAGTAATCTGGCATTTCTCTCTTGCATATTTTAGAATCTTCTCTTTATGTCTCACTGTGATGAGTTTGATTACAATGTGTCATGGTGAGGATCTTTTCTGGTCATGTCTTTTGGGAGTTCTGTGCTTCAGGAAATACAACCCAAATGTTGTTGGTATTTTTATAGTATCCTGTAGGTTCTCAATAGTGTTTTTTAGATTTCCAATTTCCTCTTGTCTTTGGTTTGACTGTATCTTTTCCTGTGCTTTGTCTTCTAAGTCCGATATCTCTCTTCTGCCTCACTGATTCTGTTTTTAAGGCTCTCCACTGCGTTTTCTATTTATTCTATTGACTTCTTCATTTCATTTTGATTTCTCTTTAATATCTCAGTTTCATGTTCTATTAAATTCTTCATTTCATTTTGATTCTTCCTTAAGATTTCAATTTTGTGGGAAAGATTTTCTTTCATGTCCTGTATGGATTTCAGTAGTTCATGTGTTTGCTTTTGATTATTTCTATGCAATCTTAAGATCAATTTTTTGAGTTCCATTTCTTTCATTTCTTCTATCTCATCATCTTCATAATCTTGTATTGAAGTGTTGTCTTTTGGGAGCATCATATTGTCTTCCTTATTCTTGTTTCTTGGATTGTTGCGTTTGTTGTTTGGAATTTGTGGAGGTATTCGTTGGTTTCTTTTTTTTTTTTCAGCTGTGGTGGCTTTTATCATTGTACTATGACTCTGTAGATAAGTGGACTGTTGGCTTTCAGGGAATCTCTAGAGGCTTGTAGTGGATGTGGCCAGAGAGCTCTTGTTCAGTTCTCCAGGTTTAAGGGCATGCATAAGGTGACACTTACAGGTTAGCTGTGGTGAATGTTCTCTCTTTGTTTTAATCAGCTCAGCTGAGCTCTTCTCTTCCTGATGGAGACCAGTGCCTGAGCCCTAACCCCAGTGTGTATAATATTCATCTGCTCTGTCCCAAGGACCACACAAAGGATCTGTGCAGTCCTCAGTGTAAGTTCAGATTCCCCAGCAATGTCTCTCACCAGGTAACCAGGAACCCCGGAGCTTGCGGCATCTCCCACTGAGTCTACTCAAAGTCCCAGTCACACCATGAGTTCCCCCACACACCCTCAGTTTTTTTTCACAGTCCCAGTTCAGAAGCTTCACACAGTCACAAGCTCCTAGCCCCCTATTATTTGTCCCTACCAGAGTCAGGAGTCTCCACTTGGCTGATTGCCAGGTGCAGACACATGTTGACACAGCTGTTACGTATGTCCAGAATGGCTCCCACTCTATTGACTCATCACAGTACACCTTTGTAAAGTGATTGGAGAGAGAGAAACGTGTCCATCCCATGCTTTTTTTTCCCCTAGTTTGGCTGGTGCACTTTCTAGCCTCGTTTCCTCTAGGCTCTTCCTGCCGCTTTTTCGCCAGTGGCTTGGGCTACTGCGGTCTTGTCTCACCTTGCATTCCACCGCTGGTGCATAGGCTCTCAGCTGTTGAAATCCTGAGCCGTGGGCACCCATGCCCTCCACGTAGATCCACTGTGTCCCTCTAATTTCGGAAGAGTTTCCTCTGCCGTTTTTTCCCTAACTCTTCCCTGAGACTACACTAGCTCCACTTTTTAAAAACTGTCTTCTGGGTCAGAGCAGTACGCTCCCTCCCTACTCCGCCATCTTGCCACCGTCCATTCTTTGAGTCTTCTTATCAATCAGTGCTTTCATCTCTTTTCTATAGTTTCCATGGCTTTGTCATAAAATTCACTGATCTTTCCTCTGGCTGTGTCTCTCTCATTGTTGCATTCAGGGAACAGATTGGAAACCCTGCACCCCCTTCCCCTTCACTTCTGCTCTCTCCTTGTGGGGAGGAGGTTAGCTCGCAGGCCAGGGCTGGGTCCTCCTCACACCTGGGGCCACATTCAGGACTCATCCCCAAGGAGCTGCAGGTTAGGGATGCTACTTCTATGATGCTCTCTGTGCTTCCACTCAGACTGTTTTACTGAGTTCCCCCTGCAGCCCAGCACACACCTGGACCTGGACAACCATATTCTGCCAGCCCTGACCAAGCCTCTGTAGAGCTAGCCTGCAGGCTGGGAGGAGAGGGCAGCCTGGGGGTCTCAGAAATGGGTGAGCTGGGCCTGACCTGCTCATGGCTCTGGCACCAATCCCTCTGGGCTGCAGGGAGAGTGTGCTTCATGGGAACAGGTTTGTATCTCACTTCCCCATTTGCCTGTGTCACTGTGAGCTCCAAAACCACTGTTAAACACCTGGCAGTAATAGTCAGCCTCGTCCCCCGCCTGGGCCCTGCTGATGGTCAGGGTGGCAGTGTTCCCCGAGTTGGAGCCAGAGAAGCGGTCAGGGATCCCTGAGGGCCACTTGCTATCCCTGTAGATGAGCAGCACAGGGGCCAGTCCTGGCTTCTGCTGGTACCAGTGCACAGCATAACTTTCAATGCTGTCTCCCCCACAGGTGATCCTGGCTGTCTGTCCCAAGGACACTGACACTGATGGCAGCTGTGTCAGCTCATAGGAGGCCACGCAGCCTGCAAGAGAGAGAAAGAGTGGGGATTTGAAGACCAGGGATCCAATCCCGAAGAGTTGCTCTGAGGCTGAAGTCAGGTTTGCAGCAGGTACAGGCCAGGTCCCTTGGATTGGAAGCTGGGGGCAGGGCCAGGGTGGCCGCACCTGTGCAGAGAGTGAGGAGGGGGAGCAGGAGAGGGGTCCAGGCCATGGTGGAGTCACCCAGCGCTGCCTCCAGAGCTCACAGCACAGCTGGGCTCCCCAGGCCTCTCTTATTTCCTCTCAGGCTGTGGGGCAGGGATGGTGGTGTTTATGCAAATTCCCTCCTCCCCTGGGGCTCCCCATAGAGCAGGGCTCAGTCTCAGTAGCTGTGCAGGCAGAACAGGGGCTGGGGAAGAGGAGAATCCCAGCTTCCTCAGAGCTGCTTCTCAGGTCTGGACATCTGCCTTTGCCTCTGAGACCCTTTTTTTTTTAAATATTTATTTATTTATTTATTTATTTGAAAGGCAGAGTTGCAGAGAGGCAGAGGCAGAGAGAAAGAAAAATCTTCCTTTCTCTGGTTCACTCCCCAAGTGGCTGCAACAGCTGGCACCGAGCCAGTCTGAAGCCTGGAGCCAGGAGCTTCTTCCGGTCTCCCACACAGGTGCAGGGGCCCAAGGACTTTGGCCACCTTCTTCCTAGACCATAGCAGAGAGCTGGATCAGAAGTGGAGCAGCCAGGACTGGAACTGGCATCCATATGGGATGCCAGCACTGCAGGCAGCGGCTTTACATGCTATGCCACAGCGCCAGCCCCTCTGACTACTTCGAAGTAATCCCACAGTCAATTTTTTGAACTCTATTTCCAGCATTTCTTCAATCTCTTCTTTTTCACTAATATCAAAGTGTTGTTGTGTTCCTTTGGAGGTGTCATGTTTTCTTGTTTCCTGAATTGGTGCATTTATTTTTAAGCGTTTGTGGAGATGCTATGCCTCTGTGGGTCGGTGGAGTGTCTGCTCTTTCAGTCAATACCCAGGGGTAGTGCTGGGTGTGGCCAGGGAGCTCATTCAGTGCTCAAGGTGAGGGGAGTGTCTAAGGTGACACTCAAATTGGGCATGGTAAATCTCCTCTTATTTTAATATTTTTTATCAGAGGGGAGTTTTAATCTGCTCTTTTGGCATAGTCTCACACTCACCTCCTCTCCTCCAAGCTGACCAATGCCTGGTTGCCAGCCCCAGTGGGTATAATATTCATTTGCGCTGCCACAAGAACCGCACAGAGGACCAAGCAGTGTGAGCATGGATCGCGCAGCAGTGATCCTCACCAGGGATTCAGGGAGCCCCAAGTGTGAGGAGCGACTGTCCAAAGACCCAGCCACACCCTGTACCCTCACACGCAGCCAGTGTTTTCACAGTCCCAAGTACCCAGATCCCTGGCAGTTCTCCCAACCAAACTTTGGTGTCTTCTCTCTGCTAGTTGCTGGGCATGAACACAAGCTGGTGCAGCAGTCACATATGTCCAAAATGTCTCGGCTAGTTACAGGATGCCAGTGCCAGGTGGTCAGGGAGAGAGAAACGAGCCCCTTATTTTCCTTTCTAGGTTGACAGAAATACTGTCCCCTGCAGGGCTCTAAGCAGGACTCATGCTGGGCTCTTCCCACAGCTTTATCGCCTGTGGCTTGGACTGCTGCAGTCTGGTCTCACCTCACTCTCCAAAGCTGGTGCTGAGGCTCTCAGCTGCTGGGGTCCTGAGTTGTGCATGTCCACACTTTCTACGTAGATCCACAGTGTCCCTCTCATTTGCATGGAGTTTCTTCTGCCATTTTCTCCCTAACTCTTCCCTGAGATTGCACTCTCCATGTTTTTTTTAAAACTATCCGCCCCTAAACTAGATCAGTAAGCTCCCTCCCTCTCCCTATTCTGCTATCTTGGTGTCTCCCACATGTGGTTTTAAAAGATCATAGGAATTTTATTTTTTGAAAATTTTAAATTATTTTCATTTTATTTGAAAGGCAGAAAGACAGAGATAGATCTGTCATCCACTGGTTTACTCCAAAGATACACACAGCAGCCAGTGTTGGGCTGGTGGGAACCAGACTCTGATGCATCAATTGCGTAGACTACCTTGTCTCAGGCTTTCCAGGTGTCCTTGGCAGAAATTCTAATAGTTCAATGTTATCTCTTCCATTTCTCCGTGTGACATAGGAATCAGCTCTCTGGGGCTGCGGGTGCCGGCACTGTTTTCCTGTCCAGGTCTAGAAGGGTGGAATCTGCACATTCAGGGGCCGCAGTGCGTGGATCCCCTGTTCTGCTTTGCCGTGGCTCAGAGTGTCCTGCTGTTCTGTAGCAATTTTGAATGAATGTCTGCAGTGTGAGCTTGTCCTCATGGGGCCTGTGGCGGTTTTCAATTTGTCCCTGTGTTTCTCTTCATTGTTGGTTCAGCAAAGTTGCTTGGATGCAGTTTGGTCCCTCTGAGCTCTTGCCCTTGACTGCAGGGGACGTGAGCAGACTTGAACCTGTGGCTGAGTTTCCCCAGTACTGAGCAGGCTCCTCTGACTGGTGACTCCGATGCCTTCCATGAGGCTCTCAACACTCTGAGCATAGGAACAGGTGCAGTGTGCCTTGTGTATGTGTATATGTGTGAGTGTTTGCATATGTGTTTGAATGCTTGCATGTGTGAGTGTTTGCATGTGTGTATCTGAGTGTTTGCTTGTGTGTGTGTTTGCTTTTGGGTGTGTTTGCTTTTGGGTGTGTTTGCATGTGTGTGTTTCTGTGATTGTTTGCATATGTGTTTCCATGTGTGTCTGAGTGTCTGCATGTGTGTGTATGTTTGCTAGTGTCTGGAGAAGTGGAAGGGGCGAGACGTAACAGTCATGAAGCTTCGATTTCTACTTCACTTCTAAGACATGTTTATTCGAAAGGCAGAGTTAGACACAGAGCCATCTTCTATCCGCTGGTCACTCCCTAAGTGGCCCTAACAGGCCTGGGCCGAGCTGAAGCAGGGAGCCAGGAGCTCCCTTGGGGTCTCCCACGTGGGTCCAGGGACCCAAGCACGTGGGCCACCTTCCTCCGCTTTGCCCAGGCCCTTAGCAGGGCGCTGGACCTGAGTGGGGCATGTATGTGTATTTCTATGTGTGTATTTACAAGTGTGTGTTTTTTCCTTTGTGTGTGTTTGCCTGTGTTTGTGTGTGTGTTTGCATTTCACTGTGTTTTCGTGTGTTTCCATGTGTGTCTGAGTGTCTGCGTGTGTGTGTGTATGTTTGCTAGTGTGTGTTTGCAAGTATGTGCATTTCTGTTTGTGTGTATTTACAAGTGTGTGTTTGTTTCCTTTGTGTGTGTTTGCCTGTGTTTGTGTGTGTCTCTGTGTGTATGTGTTTGCATGTCTATTTACCTGCATGTGACAGTTTGCATGTATGGCTCCCATGCATAATTGCTCTCAGTTATCTTTGGGGTCCATTCCTTAACCTCGGGTGTTTATTTCACGCCTTCCCTGTTCATCAGTCCACAAGAAGGACACAGGCTCCTGAGAACTGTCTTTGCCCAACCACCTCTCATTTCCATTCCTTTCCCTGTATGCAGCCTGCATTTTGGAATGTCCCAGGAGTAAGAATCTAAGGGGAGGCACTGCGCCCAGAAACCCATTGGAAGGTAATCTCTGAGAAGTGAGAGAGGACACCTGTGTGCCTGCATGTGGCTACACTAGAGGCCACAGCTGGGAGGCCCTTTTAGGTCATTCTCCCCTGAGACAGGGACTTGGCACCTTGGTCTCAGGTGGGTCCTGGACCTGAGCCTCACTCTGGGTGGGGTGGATTCTGCAGCCCAGGTCGATCCCAGGTGCTGGCAGCACTGTGGCTTCCAGCAAGGAATCCCAGCAACAAGGATGGGAGGGGCAGCTCTGCAGAGTAGATATCCAGCACCCCCAGCAGGAAACTTCTGTGTTCAGGACCCAGGGGCCATGGAAGCTGGGGCTGCACCTGGGCAACTCAGGGCACCCTGTAGGAGCCCTGGGAGTGAGTGGAGGCCCTGGGCTGGGAGCAGACCCCACACACATGGAGACCCAGGCCACATATCAGCAATGGGTGTCTCCTCTGTGTGCCATTCCATTCAGGGCCTTTCCCCCCCACTTCTCACTCAGACCACAGCAGGAAGCCTGGTGCTGCTGTCACTGACCCCAGTGCTGACCAAGTCTCTGCAGAGCCTACCTGGGGGTCTCAGAAATGGGTGACCTGAACTGACCTGCTCATGTCTTTGTCCCCAGTCCCCCTAGAGCTGCAAGGAGAGTGCAGCCCTGATGGGGATGTGGTTTGTAGCTCACTTCCCTGTTTGTGTCACTGTGAGCTCCAAAACCACTGTTAAACACCTGGCAGTAATAGTCAGCCTCGTCCCCCGCCTGGGCCCTGCTGATGGTCAGGGTGGCCGTGTTCCCCGAGTTGGAGCCAGAGAAGCGATCAGGGATCCCTGAGGGCCACTTGCTATCCCTGTAGATGAGCAGCACAGGGGCCAGTCCTGGCTTCTGCTGGTACCAGCTCACAGCATAACTTTCAATGCTGTCTCCCCCACAGGTGATCCTGGCCGTCTGTCCCAAGGACACTGACACTGATGGCAGCTGTGTCAGCTCATAGGAGGCCACACAGCCTGCAAGAGAGAGAAAGAGTGGGGATTTGAAGACCAGGGATCCAATCCCAAAGAGTTGCTCTGAGGCTGAAGTCAGGTTTGCAGCAGGTACAGGCCAGGTCCCTTGATTGGAAGCTGGGGGCAGGGCCATGGTGGACGCACCTGTGCAGAGAGTGAGGAGGGGGAGCAGGAGAGGGGTCCAGGCCATGGTGGAGTCGCCCAGCGCTGCCTCCAGAGCTCACAGCACAGCTGGGCTCCCCAGGCCTCTCTTATTTCCTCTCAGGCCAGTGGGGCAGGGGGTGGTGGCGTTTATGCAAATTCCTCTGTCTCCTACAGGAGAGGCAGGGACCCACACACTTGAGTCATCACCTGCTGCTCCCAGATGTGCCCCACGAGTGCAGTAGCAGAAAGCTGGGATCAGAAGCGATATCGGCACTCGACTCAGCCTATCAGATATGGATTGCCTGTGGCCCAGGTGGCATCCTAACCACTGCCCCAAATTCCTGCCCCACTGCTTCTGTGGTCTCCTCACGGCTTCTAGTCTCATTTCCTCGTGGGGTTTGCCCCCTTCTGTGACTGCACCCCCATTAATGTTAGACCAGCGACAGATGCTGGGAATTTGTGATGGTTTCCTCTCAGGAACATTTAATTTAATTTTCACATTTTAAATATGTATTTATTTGAAAAGCAGAGTTATGAAAAGAAGAATAAGAGAGGTGAGAGACAGAGTCTTCTGTTAGCTGGTTTAACCCCAAATGCCTGCAATGACTGGTGCTGGGCCAGGCCAAAGCAAGGAACCTGGAGCTCCGCCTGGGTCTCCCACATTGGTGGATGGGGTCCAAGCAGCCGGGCCATCTTCCACTGCTTCCCCAGGTGCACAGGCAGGGAGCTGGATCAGAAGTGGAGCAGCCAGGCCTGGAACTGGCATCCCCATGGCGTGCTGTGTTGCAGATGGTGGCTCAGCCTGCTGCACCACAGCTCCATCCCCATTCTCTCGGGGATTTTACATTAAATATTTCCAAAGGTGAGAGACCTAGTCCTGACAGGGAAACCAACTGCAGGGATTATAACCTCTGTGTGAACATCAAGGTCATGGTCTTTGCCCGGGGCAGAGCTCTGAAGGGTAGGAGGTCAGGGGTCCCTAAGGGATGATCCTGTGACTGCAGCCAGGCCAATTGTGTGGTCAGAGTTGTGGCCAGAAGCACATAGAGTCTCCCTCCCTCTGCAGAGTCCCCTACAGGAGCTGTGGGTGCTGTACCCAGGGACCAGCTCCACCTGTCCTCTCCCCAACCTGAGACTGCACCTGTGCCCAGGGCTGCATCCCTCAGGGCAGATGGGCTGCAGGTGGAGAGAGAGGCAATGGAGCAGGGGGTAAGGGTGGCTCTGGAAGTGCCCAGGGCAGAGAAATCAGCCCAGTACCCCTGCTGGCCAGTGAGCTTCATGGCCCTGAGAGTGGGCAGCAGGCTGAGGCATAGATCCTGGGAGAAGGAGGCAGGCCCTGGGAGCCCTGGGGTCTCACTCTGTGCTCCCTCCTGGTGCCCTGGACCATGGAGGGGCTCCCAGGTGAGTCTCACCCATAGGACCTGACCATGCTGAGTGCTGGTGCCAGGCTCCTCCAGTGCACTTCCCAGTGGAGCCCTTGCTGTGCCAGGGCTCCTGCCCTGCCCGTGTCCTGGGCTGTTCCTGTGTGAGCCTGACCTCGAAACAGGGTCCTTTCATGTCCTGGGGATGGGATGGACATTGCTGAGCTCCACTCGCAATCCTGACCTTGGACACCTGTTGCTCCATGGCACTGGCCACCTCCTCAGGCTTCCCCTGGGGAGCCCCATCCTCCCCCATGGCTGCTGCTTCTGCCTGCAGCTCTGCTGCCCCCTGCTGGTGCAGTTGACTTCACAGCAGGTGCTTCCCTGCTCCAGGTTCCTCCAAAGCCCCTGTCCCCTGAGAGGTGAGGACAGGGAGTCCAGCCTTGCTTGTGCTAGCTGTGCCCCCTCCATACTCAGCCCAGCCCAGAGAGGTGGCATCCGTGGTGTGCAGGGCTCAGAGCAGGTGCAGTGTCCATCAGCGCTTCCTGGGGTGCTGTACCCTTCCCGGGGGGCTGTCTGTGTGAGAACGAATAAGACCTAGCTCTTCCTTAGTTCTGTGCTCCCTGACTCCAGGGACTCCTGTGGGCTGCCTTGCAGGAGCACAGGCTGCTGTGTGCTCAGGCCCCAGAGTGAGGCTCCACCCACCCCAGTGGGGTAGCATTGCTTTTTGGGACACACAGGACGCGCCTGACCCTAGGCTCCATCGTGCACTGGAGCCATCATTGCCGATGTCGCTGTCACTGTCATGTTGCTCCTCCCACACCTCTCAGAGTTTTGGGTGCGAGGACTTCTGCACTGGCTGAGCCTGTGCCTGTATTGGGACTGGACATCTCCAGTTCCCTGTGACCTGGGGACCCCGTGCCTCCTACAGGACACAGCTTCTTGGCTGAATGCCTGACCTTGTATACACTCATGTTCCTCCTTCTCAAGGCTCCTGTAGAAACACCATGCTTCCTGCTCCTATTCTGAGAGCAATAGCCTTTCAACATTTTGATCCCCTTTCCGTTCTTTTGGTTGTGACTGGCAGATAGCATCTTGTTATTTTGTGTTCTGACACTGTGCATGTGTCTGATGTATGTGTGTGTGTGTGTGTTTTTAAGATTTATTTATTTATTTGAAAGTTAGAGTTACACAGAAAGAGAAGGAGAGGCAGATGAAGAGGTCTTTCATCTGCTGGTTCACTCCCCAGTTGCCTGCAAAGGCTGGAGCTGTGTCGATCCAAAGCCAATACACAGGGGGCCAGTGCTGTGGTCCAGCGAGTTAACACCCTGGCCTGAAGTGCCAGCATCCCATATGAGCACCGGTTCTAGTCCTGGCTGCTCCTCTTCCAATCCAACTCTCTGCTATGGCCTGGAATAGCAGTAGAAGATGGCCCAAGTCCCAAGCACCTACATGGGAGATGCAGAAGAAGCTCCTGTCTTCGGATCAGCGCAGCTCCAGCCATTGTGGCCATCTGGGGAGTGAACCAGTGGATACAAGACCTTTCTTTTTGTCTCTACCTCTCTCTGTAACTCTGTCTTTCAAATAAATAAAATAAATATTAAAAATAAACAAAGCCAACACAAGAGGCAGGAGCTTCTTCTGGGACTTTCACATGGGTTCAGGGACCCAAGCACTTGGACCATCTTCTACTGCTTTCTCAGGCCATATCAGAGCTGGATAGGATGTGGAGCAGCTGGAACATAAACCAGTGCCCATAGGGGATGCCAGCTCTGCAGGCAGCAGCTTTACCTGCTATGCCACAGCACCAGCCCTGGGTGATGTGTTTTACCATTCTGATGTGCATGTAATGTGACACTAGGGTCCCCAGCCTGGGTATTCCCTTGTGCTTGGTCAAATCCAGTGCAGCCTGGACTTCTGCATGTCCCTCTGTGCCCTTGAGCAGAAACAGGAGATGTGATTCTTCTCCACCACCTCATCAGGTGCTGGATCCGCCAAACCCAAACCTCCTCCTCTGCACTCATCATCTTCAACGGCACTGTCACTGAGCTGAAGCAGTCAAGTGTGTGCCTCCCTTTGCATCCGCTGAAATGAGTGGCTGGGCATCCAGTAGATCCTGGGGTGGAAGCCAGAGTCTGCAGGTCCCTCGGCTCAGGGTCGCATTGGCAGTGTCTGAGACCCAGGAGGAGAGAGCTGTCGGTCAGAAGGCAGTGAATGCCGGTGCACAGGATGCACCTCTGATTCAGACCCTGAGCTGTGTCTTCCTCTCAGAGCGTAGGGGTGGGGGCAGTGAGCCCTCAGGAGGAGGGGACGTCAGTGGACGTCTCCATTCCATCCCCTGGCTTCCTATCTCCTCTCCCTGCCATCACTCGGTCCTGTGGTGTGCTCCACCTGCACATCGGAACACCCAGGTGGTATCATGGTCATGGAGCCGATGCCACTTGGGGAAGATTGGGAGAGTCCTGCACTCAGGGAGTGGAGAATCGACCACAGGGGGCCTCATCCTGCCCAGGAGCAGCAGCCTGGAGGAGTGGAGGAGTGGTTGTTCCTGCATTCTGAGGCGGGCCCCTCAGCATAAAGGACGGGTGTGGTTCCTGCACCCCCACCACCAAGAAGGAGGCGCTGAGCCTCATGGACTCCGTGGACTCGGGAGTTGTCTGGGACTCAGTTGGGGAGGTTGCCCCAAAGCACACAGGTTGGGGAGCTCTGTGGCCCAGGCCAATCCCAGGTGGAGGCAGCGCTGTGGCTCCTAGGGAATCCCAGCAGAGGGGTGGGAGGGGCAGCCTGAAGAGCAGATGCACAGCGCCCCCTGCAGGGACCTTTCTGTTCAGGACCCAGGGGCTATGGGGAATTGGGGCTGGGCTTGTGCAGCTCAGGGCATCCTAAGGGCCCTGGGAGTTGAGTGGAGGCCCTGGGCTGGAAGTTGTCCCTGCACACATGGAGACCCAGACCCTACAGCCCACAGCAGGAGAGTGCCTCTGTGTGTCCTTCCACTCAGTCCTCTTTCCCCAGTTCCTACCCATTCCATAGCAGAGCACCCTGGTGCTACAAGAGCTGACCCAGCCTCTGTAGACACAGCCTGAGGGTCTCAGACCTGAGAGAGCTGAGCCTGACCTGCTCAGGGCTTTGTCCCAGTTCTCCTGGGGCTGCAGGGAGAGATGCCACTGACAGGGATGGGGTTTGTGTCTCACTTCCCCGTCTGCCTGGGTCACTGAGAGCAATGGCACTGCTGTCCCACACCTGGCAGTAGTAGTCAGCCTCATCCCCGGCCTGGGCCCCACTGATGGTCAGGGTGGCCGTGTTCCCCGAGTTGGAGCCAGAGAAGTGGTCAGGGGCCCCTGAGGGCCGGTTTCTATTACTGTAGATGAGCAGCACAGGGGCCAGGCCCGGCTTCTGCTGGTACCAGTGCACACTGTAGTCTTCTTTTTTTATTTTATTTTTTTTATGACAGGCAGAGTGGACAGTGAGAGAGAGAGAGACAGAGAGAAAGGTCTTCCTTTCTCCGTTGGTTCACCCTCCAAATGGCCGCTGCGGCTGGCCTACTGCGCTGATCTGAAGGCAGGAGCCAGGGGCTTCTCCTGGTCT